GTGTGATATATAAACGTTTCTTGTGCACCGAAATGGAAAAGACATGAAACGAATGGGGCTGACAGGACATGGCAAAAGTCCCACAAAAAAGGGATAATGTATGGTTACCATAGCCAGCTCAACTATTATATCTTTGGCAGCTTATGACTGATGATGGAAACAATTGTGGGCTATCCTCTAACCATTCTCATTGCCAACATTTTGCACAGATCAGGTGTACAGTATCAAAATGATTCAAAATGTATCAAATGGAAAGACTGCAATAGTCTAAGCATCTCCAAGCACCTGTCGCTGCGGCCCTGCTTGGATGACCTACCCGTGTAGCGTTGCATGCTTCGTACCAGCCAAAACCGCGTGTAGACAAGCTTTTTACTAATTGAATCGAATAATGTTGCCAGCGCTAGCTGGAATGTCCAGTGGGTTTCTAAACAGCAACGGAAACCAGAAAGCAAAGCAGTGATGTGCAGAGCCAGATCCTAGCAATTCCAACAAAGAGCAATTCACTGTGCCTGTGGCGGTGGCCAGTTGTAGCTGCGTTTCATCGACGCTCCCATGGTGCCACTCTCCACCTTTCAACTGTTCTACGTGGGTCAACGGTTAGAGCCTGTCGAAAGCGTCTCCAGCCTTCTGGACCCTCTTCCAAGTTGATACGTCCGTGTCCTTGGACACTCTTTCTTGCTTTGAGCATTCAAAAGTGCCTTGAACAAAGATAGTACACAAAAATACAACAAGAAGGTGTTCGGGCCCTTTGGCAAGGCAACCTTGAAGACTTGAAGAAGGGAGCCGTGCTATATGAAAGGAGTCCAAGGAATATCTTTCTTCCCTTATGAGGCACCCTTACCAACCCTCACAAGGACAGGGCATGCTCTTAAAAAATATTCCGTCCTCAACCATCTCCACGGCGTTCTGGACACCCTCACTTGAGGTTATGCCCAAACTGGCGATCAGTGGCAATATGTTTGTGGCCAGAAGCGACGACAAACGAATGGCTGGACCGTACCCAAATGTTCCAACAAAATGGTTCTATAGGTTTTTCGACCTATTGCTTTCCAATGTTTCTGTTGTCCTGTTGCTGTAAACACTGTCAATATGCAGTTTGTCATCCACTCATGGCCTGTCCCACAGGAGCTGCTTCTTCTCCTGCACCTGGATGCTCCGAGCGTGACGGAGCATGAGGGAATGCTAGGTCGGTCGATGCCTTACAAAACCCAATTACTAGCGATGGCCTCCAACCTAATTGTAATATATTGTAATGGCCTCCAACCTAATAACGATGGACATAGTCGCCTACTGGGAAGGGGCCAACGCTTCACACTTTGTGATGCGTTTGATAGCAACTTATTTTTGCTAAGCAAGGCCCGGCCTTCTTGCTAACACCTCGCCATGCATGCTCCCATGGTTTCAGCTGCTTGCTACTGGCATTAACCTCTCAGTGCAGAGTGGATCGGTGCCCGTTCCAAGCAAGAACCATCTAAAAACATCGCAGCAGTATCTTAGACTACACATCGCCATCGTACCGTGGCAAGGATGAAATGCAAAACTATAGGTGATACGGTGATACGTGGGCCAATGTGTAGAGAAGTCGTGTCGGCAAATATAGGTTTCAGTGGCCTCCCAGTAGTTCTTGGTCGGTCCAGAGACGCCCCTGCAAACAAAGTAGCAGTTCACAGCCACCAATTCACGCGAGATTACTGTAGCTCTCTCGTTGGACTTGACAAAGTTGAGCATACACAACTGCAACATGTCCGCACACTAAAACAGGTGATACATTATTGACAAGCCGGAAGTTCAACAAACTTGTTTACATATAAAAAACCATGTGGCCAGACCACAAAGGGTCGAAGTGTCGCCACGATACAACGGAAAAGGACACCATAAAGACAAAAACAAGGAATTATAGGACCGGATAACCCCACACGTTGACAACTTCACCAGACACAGGAGCGGACAATTGGTGGTTGGTGGTTGGTTGGTTGGTGGTTGGTGGTTGGTTGGTGGTCCTCTCCGGCGCGACCCTGGAGCATCCAGCTCACTACCGAAGCCAGGCATCGTAAAATCTCTTCACCCCCGTGGCTGATGTGGCCGAATTGTCTTGCTGCACTGC